AAGTCATGCACCAACCCACAAATGAAAGGGCCTACTTGTAGACCCACTGTGGAGGGGACAGTGGGTCCTTGGAAATGCAGCTGGAGACCATCCTATCCCTGTGACTTCCCCACAGCATGACATAGGAGAAGCTGCGGCATGAGGACCATCTCTGGGATGCCAAGGGCAGCTGGCTGCAGATGTGGGTCCCTCCCAGAGTGCCCAGATCCTCGCTGTGGTATGCACCCAGATTGGCTGAAGGAAAGTGCTTTTGTGTAATTGTTGTCAGGAGCCAAAGTTGCCATGAGCTAGAAGGTTGGTTACACACCCAACCCCAGGAGTGGGGGAGTAGAAATGGTGAGGGCTTTGAGTTGGTGGACTCACTGGCTCACACAACTGCCTCGCCACCAGATCTGCCTTGCTCAGGCAGGTCCTTGCTCCATAGCCCTGTGCTCAGGTCCCTCACCTATAACATGGGGCTAGAAACAGTGACCTCATAAGATGATGAAAGAGCAGAGCCAGTTAGGTTCAGAAAGGGTGCAACCTACAGAAAGTAAGCGTTAGACAAGTGTCTTTTAAGTTTCCTCACCTTACCTGTCCCATTCACGGGGGCTCATTCCTGCCCCCAGTCAGTCCCTTCACACCTGAAGTCGCCTCCCACAGCAGGGACGCTGGGCTGCCTCCTGTCAGTCTAGGGAGGTGGATCTTATGACAGCCTGGAGATTTCAAATCTGTGCTTTAGTAAGGGAAACTCGTCCCTCCAAGGACGTCAAGACTTCAGGCATATGGATTTTAGGGTGTGGTTATCAGTATCTAAAATAGAACAGAATACTTGATTTTCTTCAATTCTCCAAATGTTTTGCATTGAAATCATTTGGCACCTCCTTGTACAGTCCAGATCATTCCCATAGCAAGGCCAGCAGAATCTTCCTGATCTGTCCATCCTCTTGTGCTCTTCCCCACCAAGCTTCAACCCAGCCACCTCACACTGCAAGTCCCCACAGGGGTTTTGCCTCCCTTGATCCTCTTCATGTACTGCTCACTCACCTGGAGCTTAATCCCCTCTTCTGACCAATGTCCTGTCAGCCTCTCTAATGCCCAGAAACCCACCCCCTCTTCTGGGCTGGTATAGGAGCTCCCTCTCTGTATTCCCCACTCCTTTCTCTTTCATGACTCAGCATGGTGCCTGCACCCTAAACCCAAGATCTTCTTACTCACTTCAGGCTCCACAGAGCTCTTCATCCTGCTAGGCAGATGCTAAGCATTCAGTAAATATTTTACAAATGAATGAATGGGTGAAATTGAGCAATGAGGAAATCCAAGAAAAGACAGTTTGGCAGATGAAACAAGATAAGCTGGTTGCAAAGACATTGAGTTTGAGTTGTTGATTGCGCATCTAGATGGAGGTCCCAGCTGCACTAGAAAGGCGAGCCTAAAGCTTGGGGGAGGGTCTAAAGACACTGATTTCTCTGCTCATATATGAGACAATTCTCTGCAGTAGGTCAAATGACCAGCAAATAGCTCAGTATTACCAATTCAGTTCTATTAACTCAGAGCCTTAAAACTAGAAGGATGTATTCAATAAAAAAGGACAGTGCATGATGAATAGGTACACCTCGAGATATTGTGGGTTCTGTTCTGGACCGCCACAATAAAGTGAGTAAAATAATAAATGTTTGATTTCCCAGTGCATATTTCAATAAAAGCTATGGTCACACTCTGCACAGTCTATTGAAGAGTACAGTAACATCCTGTCTAACAAAAAATGTACTTAGTCCTAATCTTTTTGCTGGTGGAGAGTTCTTGCCTCAATGTTGATGACTGCTGACTGATGAGGGTGGTGACTGCTGAAAGTTGGGGTAGCTGTGGCAATTTGTTAAAATAAGACAGTAATGAAGTTTGCAACATCAAGTGACTCTTCCTTTAATGAAAGATTTCTCTATAGCTGGTGATGCTGTTTGATAGCATTTTAACTACAATAAAACTTTTTTCAAATTAGGAGTCAATCCTCTCAGTCCTGCTACTGCCTTATCAACTAAGTTTACAGCCTTTTCACCAGAAGTAGCTTCCATCTCAAAAAAGTACTTTCTTTGCTCATCTGTAAGAAGCAACTCTTTGTCTATTGTGTTTTATCATGAGATTGAAGCAATTCACTTGCATCTTAGGGTCTACTTCTAATTCATGCTGCTTCCACCGCATCTGCAGTTATTTCCTCCATGAAAGTCTTGAACTCCTCAAAGTCATTCGTGAGGGTTGGAATCAGCTTCTTCCAAACTCCTGTAAATGTTGTTATTTTTACCTCCTTCCATGAATTACAAATGCTCTTAATAGAAAGTGGTATCAAGAATGATAAATTGACTTTGCCCAGATCCATCAGAGGAATCACTGTCCATGGCAGCTATCACCCTTATAAAATGTATTTCTTAAATAATAAAACTTAAAAGTCAAAACTGGTCCTTGATCCATGGGCTGCAGAATGGATGTTGTGTCAGCAGGCACGAGGACAACGTGCATTCCCTTGCACATCTCATCTCCATCAGAGCTGTTGGAGGTCAGATGCACCGTCAACGAGTAGTGACATTTTGAAAGGAATGTTTTTTTTCTGAGCAATAGGTCTCCATGGTGGACTTAAAATATTTAATAATGTCCCTGTGTTTCCTTTATTGTTTCCTTTAGGGAGCACAGACATAGTAGATTTAAGGGCCCTAGTATTTTCTGGAATTGTCACTGAGCATTGACTCCAACTTAAATCACCAGCTGCATTAACCCTTAACAAGAGAGTCAGCACCCTTTGAAGCCAGGCATTGACTTTTCCTCTGTAGCTATGAAAGTCCTTGATGGCATCTCCTGCCCACAGAAGGATATTTTGTCTACAATGAAATGTGTTGTCTAGTGTAGCCACTTTCATCAGTGCACTTAGCTAGATCTTCTGGGTAACTTGCTGCAGTTTCTACATAACACTTCTTCTATGTTCTGCAGATGGCTTCTTTCCTTAAAACTCATGAGCCAACCTCTGCTAGCTTCACATTTCTCTCCTGCAGCTTCTTTATCTCTCTCAACATTCAAAGAATTGAAGAGTGTTAGGGCCTTGCTCAGGATTAGGCTTTGGCTTAAGAGAACGTTATAGCTGATTTGAACTTCTATCGAGACCACTGGAACCTTCTCCCTGTCAGTGATAAGGCTGTTTTCCTTTCTTATTCATGTATTCACTGGAGTAGCACTTCTAATTTTCTTCAAGAACTTTTTCTTTGCATTCACAACTTGACTGACTGACACAAGAGGCCTAGCTTTCAGCCCATCTCAGCTCTCAAATTGCCTTCCTCACTCAGCTTAGTCATTTCTAGCTTTTTATTTAAAATAAGAAACATGAGACTCTTCTTTCACTAGAACACTTAGAGTCTATGGTAGGGTTATTCATTGGCCCAATTTTAGTATTGTTGTGTCTCAGGGATAGAGAGGGCCAGGTCAGAGTCGACTGATCAGGGAACGGCGGGTCAGTGGAGTGGCCACATCTATCAGCTAAATTCACAGTCTTAAATGGGGGTGTGGTTCATGGTACTCCAAAATAATTACATCAGTAACATGGAAGATCTCTGATCACAGATCACCGTCACAGACATAATAACAATGAAAATGTTTGAAATATTGAAGGAATTACCAAAATGTGGCACAGAGACACAAGAGACACAAAGTGAGAGCCTACTATTAGAAAAATTGTGCTGACAGACTTAGCTGATACAGAGTGGCCACAAACCTAACATTTATAGAATGTATGGTTTCTGTGAAGCACAATAAAACAATGCATGCGTGTAATTCTTTCATTTGACAATGAGGAAACTAAGGCTCAGAGAAGGAAGGGGTCTGATGAATAGCTAGTTAGAGGCAGTGCTGGGGCTCTAACCCACATGTCCCCATCACTGTCTAAGCTCTTTCTGCCTCCCGGTGACCTCCTTTCTGGCATTCATCTCTGAATCTTGAAGGAGGACTTATCAGTGATGGAGAAGAGGACACTGGAAGAACAGAACTCCACAGATATTCATGCATTAATCCTCCTTTCCTCACAACACAGACTCAAATTTGTGGCCCCAAATGAGAACAGACCTGATAAGACCTCAAGAGCCTTATGCTAATCTGACTCCTTAGCGAAGAGCACAGACCCTTGTAGCCTTCTGCAGCAGCTACATTTACTTTACCCTGTTTTGAACATTGTTGGCCATCTACTCTCCAGCCCCATAACAGATCAGAATTAGCAGATTATAAATCATGAGAGAGATTGCTGTGAACAAGAAAAAGGACACATTGACCAAAAAAAAAAAAAAAAAAAGGCAGCAGATGGGGGTCACAGACCAAGAGCCACTCACACCAAAACCCACCTACACTTACATATCCCAACACATGTCCTAGCGGTGAGATCCATGTTGTGCTCAGTACATTTTGCTTATTTAAGGGCTGCACGCATTTAGACATTTCATATTGATCTCCATCCAAAGTGATTAAGATTGTTACATTTCTGGCATTCTAAGAAGTAAGCCCATTACTATCAAAGAGAGGAATTATCCTGAAGGATTGTAAATAGCAAAAGTTCTTCATCATGACAAAGGGGGAGAGAACTGGCATTCACCTGGAGTCTGCCTAACACTGTCTCATTTAAGTTTCCCAATTCTTTAACCTTGCACACAGCCAACTTCAACCATATATACGATGAACCCATACAGAACTGAATGGATTGAGTTTTTCAGTATCATTTTAGACATTTTAGAATCGCCATTTCCATGATTGTACTGTACCTTATGGAGCTGGGAGCCTGAGTTCTTTCCCCAAGGTGCTGCTGCTATTGCCACAGCCTGGATTCACTCAGCAGGAAGGAAAACTCACCTTGGCTGTGAAGTTCCCTCCTCACCCTCACTGCATTCAGCACCACAAGCACTAATTGAGAGCAGCCGTGTTTGCGGGCCTGTGTGATGAGCACTGGTTCCAAGCATACCATGTTTCATATCCCTTATGCTTTCTTTGATTCACAGGAATGAATTCAGAGCATGGACGGATATCAAGCCTGTGAAAGCAATAAAAGCCAGGTCCCAGTACAGGCCTCCGGATGATAAGATGGCACATGAGACCAGCTACAGTGCCCAATTCAAGGGCGAGGCCAATAAGCCAACACCAGCTGACAATAAGGTCATCGATCGCAGAAGAATACGCAGCCTCTACAGTGAACCTTTCAAGGAACCCCCGAAGGTGAGACTGATCTTGTGGGGAGCCCATCAGCACAGCCTGGAATGGAGAGGTTAGCAGCAGAGCGTGGGGGCGTGGCTACTGCCAACTCTGGCCCGGCCCCCATGGGCTGCTTTAAAATTCTTCCTTTTGTTTGCAGCACACTGAGACCGAGGGTTTTCGCGATAGAAACCTTTGTTAATTCAAAGGGAATGTAAAAAAAAATCTATGATTAAGAAAGATTAATATGCAGATTTCCAGAGAATTCATTTTTTTGATTTTGAGAAACCCAGTAAAAAAGTGACAGAAAATCTCACCTGAACCCTAAACCCCCTTCTCTTAAAATAGCTGTGTTTTTGCCCCTGAAGTGCTGGTCCAGTACTGGAGGCATTCTTGCCTTCCACCTGGCCCCCGCCCCATCTGCAGCTCCATTCACTGGTCACTTCTCCCGCACTTCCTGAGTCCCTGAAAGTTGCTGGCTCTTTCATTGATCGACACCATCCACCAGCAGCTCTTTGTCTGTCACAACACACCTGTCACATCAGCTACAAGATGGTTCCGAGTAATTGTTACTATAATAAACAGTTTGTAAATAATGTACATTTCTAAGTAACTTACAGTCGATTCAGAGATTGTCCTATAATAACACTATTTTGTCTCATTTGCATCCCAGTGTGAGAGAGAGAAACATGTTGAAGATACAGTTGCTGAGGCAGAAATCATTTATTCCATAGCTTATTTTATCAGGTCAAACCAAAAGGGACTGTGCAAATATCAGCTCTCCTATCTGCAATAGCTGAAAGAATCAGCGTCTAAAGGGCCTTTTCTCTGCTTTTTTCATAAAGTCATGACCTCAAGTGGAGTGTCCTATTTGGCTCTGGACTGGTGTCCAAGTAAGGTAACTAACCAGCCCAGTTTGCCTGGACTCCTCCAGTTGTACCATTGAAAGTTCCTTGCTCAATGAAAGCCCTATGTCCTGGGCAAACGAGGGTGGCTGGTTACCTTATTTACAGGTCAGTGGACTGGAAATCCCTGGACCCCAGTGAGTGAACGACTTAGCCTGTGGGGCCCAACATGACCCTTATGCACCTTTCACACTTGAGGAGGGACCAGGACAGGGGGTTGGCCTTAGACAAACAAAGATTCAAGGGGAGAGAGGAGGGAAGACGGGAAAGTCAACGAAGAGCTGGGTGGGCGATCCACAGAGAGAGCGCCTACAGGATGCTGATGCCTTGACTCCAGAATCCTTGGGAAGGGGAAGGCAAGGTCAGCTCCTGGGAGTGAGGGGACAGAGGTGGAGAGGGGAGCCTGGAGAGTGGAGAGGGCTTGAGCAGTGGTTCTGGAGGAGGGAGTCAGTGAGAGGAGGAACGGAGGGGCAAGCAGTGCCAAAGACCTGACTGAGATGAGGGCGCCGGGCCCTCGGTGGCTTCTCTGTGGCAACAATTCTCACTATGAGCTCACCGCCCTACACAGAAACAGGGAAAGGCCGCTTATGCCCAGGCAGTCAGCCACCCCAGAATCTCTGTCCTACACAACAAATGTCCCCGTCTTGTGGTGATGTTCATCGTGGGCTGCAGCGCCTTTGCCTCTCATCAGCCTGGGACTCGGGCTAAGGACTGGGACTCGGCCTGCCTGAGTTGAGCAGGGTGATGAGATAAAATCTTCCACAAGGAGGAGCAACAGATACTGCAAAATAGTAGCACAGTCCCCTGCTCTGTGGCCCAGGGGTGAGAGCTGTCAGGCGAGGGCCAACGTGGCCAGCCAGAGTGTAGCCAAAATGACTGACCGGGCCATTCAGACAGGAGAAGCCACATAAAGTATTCACCGAAAATACTTTGCACACTCCTCGGCATCACATTTTATCATTACTGCTGTCCTTTGATTAATCGTGTCTTCTCCTTAAATTCTCTCTCCCGTCCCTCTCCTTTTCTGTTTCTGTATCTGCGCTCTGTCTGTCTCTTCATGCAGGTGGAGAAACCTAGTGTTCAGAGTTCCAAACCAAAAAAGACCTCAGCGAGCCATAAGCCCCCAAGGAAGGCCAAAGACAAACAGGTGGTGTCGGGCCGGGCCGCCAAGAAAAAGAGCGCAGAGGCCCCCAGTGCCGCCCAACCCGACGACAAGGAGCAAAGTAAAGAGATGAACAATAAACTGGCTGAGGCGAAAGAGTAAATTTCACTGCACTTTCCTTTTCTTCTTCTCTCCTTTTTTTCTTTTTAACCGACCAACAAAAAGGCCACAAAATTGATTAGAGGCTTCTCATCTGCCTTGGCCCTGAGTGTTCCAGGAGCTCTTTGGCTTGGTTTCCTTTAATGCAGGAACTGGCTTCAAAGACTATGTGGCATGCTCCCTCTTTGAATCGAGACGCTCCTGGCCGAGCGTGGCCCCATGTTCACTCTGCAGGGCCCCTGGAACACCAGGAAGTGTTGCTGACTGGCCGTGCCCTCCTGCGCAGCTGAGGCTGCACGCTGCCCCGCAGGCCTCAGGGCGCAGGGCACTCCCAGTGGCTGCGAGAATGTTCTGGCCGTGCTTGGTAATACCTTAGGGTGTCCTCCTATCTTCCCCATAGTCTGTGTCAGTGGTCAGTTTTGAACTTGAGGCAAATGTGTTCTTTTCCAAATTCAGAGAGTTATCATGTGCTCTGGAAGCTCAACCTGGGAATTGTGGGAATATTTAAAAAACAAAAACAAAAACAAAAAACCTCAGCCTTAACGTCAATAAAATGAGTTGTCAAGGTTAAGTAACTTTTTCACAGAATCTTCTGTTAGAAGCGTGTGACTGCATTTAGATTTCTGTCTGTGGACTTTAAAGTGTGTATCAAGTAATAGATATGCCACTGATGACTAAAACTAGGTCAGGGTAAAAAGGCTAGGCATTGTAAGTACATTCTAGACGTCATAGGAAGATGACAAAAATGAGGGAATCGTGTTCCTCTGATTTCCCTCCACAGACTGCCTAACCAGTGCTGCCCACTTTGCAGAGCAGCTGGTTCCAGGTGACTGAGGAAGAAAGCTCAAGGTGTAGGGATAGTGCATTTAGAATGTGACTTTCTTGCTTCTGAGGAACGTGAGGTGGGATGTAGAGGTAGTTGGCAGGTGTGGTGGTGTTTGCTCTCCCTTCCTGAGCTGCCCTTGCTCTGTTCCTCGGGAAGAACAGAGGATGCCCAGCTTCAGGTTATGGGAGACGCCTTGTGACTTAGCTCAAGACTAGGAGAGTTCCCTGCTCGTGATTAGCAAGGACTTTTGACCTCATTCATGAATAAAAGCTCTCGATGTTTATATGTCACGTGTTGTGTCGCCAGGCCCCAGTGGTGGCAGGTGCCCCCTTAGCTGTGCTAGAGTTGTGCTGTAGGCATTAGTCAGAGAGTTGTTGTGAAAAGTCCCCCAGTGCTAGTGAGGGAACCCAACATAGCTACAGAAAAGTTACAATTGCAAATATAAAGCCTTGTGACATGTATATCACTCAGTATGCTTTATTTCTTATGTCTATAAAGTCCTTACTGTTGCCGGCATCCTGAAATGACTGGGCAGTTTCATGACGCCGAGCCTCTGCTCAGGCTTACTGTTCTTCTGTATGAAAATGGCGCAGCGTGAAGCTTCCAGTGTTCCTTGCCGTGGAAGCCCCTGTGGGTCCTTCCAGTTTGGAGGAAACAAACCCTCAGTGAGCTCTCTTGTGTTCTGGCCATTGAAGCTGCAGTCTTCCATTCTACCATTTTGTTTGTCACCATGGGGCTGATTGAGAAGTATTTTGCAAATGAATTCAGTGTGCAGATGCGGGCTGTGTTTCTGAAGAGAAGAGGAATGGTAGAATCATGGTGCTCAGCCAGCCTGCTGCCATCTTCCTTTCTGTCTCAGGGTCTGGGACTGTGAGGAAAGAGAAGCACTGAAGGTAGAAAACGTTAGTGATTTCAGTGTTTATGAATCACAAATTTGGAATGTCTGTCTGGAAGTGACTAGAGTAGACCTCTGTACCGGTTCCAGCTGTTTGTTAGTGAATCTTAACATGAACCAGAGAACTCTCTCAAAGTGATGGAAACTTCTTCCAGAGAAGTTGCCTGTGTATGTTTCTTCTGTCCAGATCCCGGCATCAGTCAGACATGCTGAGGGTAGCCACCATTTGGATTTTTCCATAGACAAGACATACCTTTTTTGAGGATCAAGTAAATGAAAGCTTACAACATGCAGGAAAGCATTCATTCCATTCATTGAATGCCTGCAGGCCAGACTCAGTGCTAGACATGATGGGCAGTGTAAAGAAATCTGTCTCCACAGAAACACAGCTGGTACCTGGGAGTCCATCCTGTTTGTGTTGCCCAAATTGTAGTTTCCTTCTCACCTTGCAGCGCCAGCCCTGCTCACCTTGCTGTCTCCTACCTGATCCACCTGGGACTGTAGCTGACCTATATGAAAGCTTTTTTGGCTCCTTAGTGTCCCCGTCCTTTTAACAGCCCCCAACCAAGAAGACCCTATTTGTAGTTCACTTTGACTCTTGAATGTGTCCCTTCACTGGCAAGAAACTTCCTTTGATTTCTACTGTTTACAAATAAAACTCAGCCAGTCTCACTCCGTATCCCAGACAACTGATTGAAACTGATTGCAGTTTCACAAGCAGTGTTTTGGTTTTGCCTTTCTGAAGGTACCAAGCTTCTAATGCCTGCTCTACCCATTTTTGTACACTGCCCTGGCCAGAGGGCCAGGACTGAAGCTTTCCCACTGTCTGCTTCACTTGCCTGCAAAAATAATCCCAAAGCAGTGCATTAGCTCCCCAAAGCTTTCTGTCAACTGCCGGTGCTCGCATTCAGTCTGTTTTACCTTTGCCTCTCCAAGGCAGACAGGAAGTGTCTAATAATCACTTTGTGGCCTGGATTTTGTTGCATACCGCAGATTGTCTATGTAACGTGTAGCGCACACCTCTCTTGGTGCTATTTCATTTCTGCTGTTAGTAAGACAATGACAAAAATATTCATGTATAGCCAATTGATTGTGACGTGCTTGTGGTCTGTGCTTGCTCAGAAACAAACAAACAAACAAACAGTTTTTCCAATTATAAATAAATGCTAAAGACGAACAACACTTTCTTGATCTTATTTCCTTGGTAAGGCCCCGCTGAGTAAGTGAAGGGACCAACTTTTGCCATTTGAGTGGTTGCCGGGGGTTCTCCATAATGCAGCTTCACTCTTTTAGATTGCCTCTCAGATACTAATTGCAAGCAGTCAGAGCTAAGTGTTGGGGAAGGAGAAGATGGACCGGGAGATCCACTGGCCAACAAGGTAGTGTAACGTTTTGATCCCATGTTGCTGGGGATGAGTGACCGCCCGTGCCAGCGCTGCCTCGCTTCCCTGGAGGTTGACCTCTGCCTCTCCACCTGCCCTGTCAACCTGCAGAACAACGGTTCTGGCTTTTTCTCCTCCCAAAGGATGCAGAGATGCCTTTACTTATTGAATCTAGTCATGAGGCTCCACCCTCCAGCGTCTGGCTCACTGTGGGGGTTATCTGGGTGATGGCCTTGTGTGTGCTTATCATGGGCGCGTAGACTCCGTCACAAGAGAGGCCCAGATAAGGTAGAACAGAATAGGTAGCTGGGAGCACAGACGAAGGACAGGTTTCTTCCTACCAGGTGGGGACCCAAAGGCTTCCTGGCAGAGGGACCTTTGGAGAGGTGGTGGGGAGTGGGTACGCAGGGGCAGGCCCACAGGCAGGTGAGTAAACAGGATAGAAATGTCACAGCTAGGGACAGGTTTGCCTATTCTGATCCTTCTGCTAAAGTGAGACACAAAAGATTCTTTTGTATGGGGTTCCTCTTCCTTTTTCCAACATATGTTGAATAAATACCTACTATGTGCTAGGCATTGTGTAAGCACTAGGGAAGCCAGGATGACAGAAATCCCGCCTCTGGTCACAATGCGGCACGAAGGAGGAATCCATACTAGCTGGTTCCATGGAGCAGGGAGGACGTCAGTGGATAGGTAGGTGATGACCCCATGACCAAGGCATGCCAGACAGAGGTTGCTGCGTGAGCAAAGGCATAGTGAGCGCAACACCAGGTGAGCTCAGGTCCCAGGGGAGCAGTTCACTTGGGAAGGGTCAAGGCCAAGGGTGGAGAGTGGCAGAACTGTCATGAGAAGTCCTGTGCCACGTGAGTGGGCGGCCGCTGACTGGGGTCTCCATTCCATGTACCAGATTGCACCCCCTCCTGTGCATGCTCCCTACCATCATGCTTCTTGCCTCAGCCCCACGTCGGGTAACAAGCGCAGGCCCTCTCTTACTCTGGGCTCGGAGCTCTTGGCTGGGACTTTTATTCTATTGCTGGTCCCAAATTTCTGGGCTTTGGGGGGAGCAGTGGTCAGAATCAATCAAATGTCATATATAAGAAAAATCACAATATATTTGTCTTCCAGATGAGTAGAAAACATTCTGCACATCTGCCTGTTTTTGTATAAGGCAGAAAACACAAAATACTGTTCAGTAAATTAAATAAACTGATAAAAAAAAGTATACTGTTCAGATCACTTAAAGTTTGTTTTGATCAAAACCAACAATTGAGAAAGGTAGAAAGATAGGAAAAAGCAGAAAGGTAGAAATAGAGGCAGAGCTAGAAAAAGACACACAGAAAAACACACATATGAGGACACTGAGAACAACCTGAGAGAAGGTGAGATCCATTTCAAACGAGTGGGCCCAACCCTCTCCACTTGCAGACGCAGGCTTGTGAGCCAAACCTCTGCCATGTCGCTGCCACTTGACGTGTAGACCTTCCTAGCAGCTGGGCCAGTCTAGAATTCCCATCAGAACAGAATTAACATCATGACATGTTCTGTTCTTTGTCCCATGGCTCCTGGTTACCAGAGCAGTGCACTCGGACAAGTCACGAGGTTCGAGAATGGAAATCAGTGCTGGCTTGGCAGCCCTGTGTTCACTAACCTCCGTGTGTCCTCCTCCGAAAACGGAGACATTAATACCTGCTGCCTCAAAGGAGAGCAGTGAGGATGAAATGGACTGATGGCTCTAGGGGACCCACAGGCTACACAAAGCACAGGTCATTTCCTCCTTCCCTTGCAGTACGTGAAGGGCCTGCGTCCGCCATCAGCGTCACTGTGAGCGATCTCCGACAATACATGAAGTTGACTGAGGCAAACACTTTGAGAAGATCACTTTGAAGGAATCCCAGC